TTCGCAACAATGCTTGGTGCGTGGAGAGAAAAGGTCGCCGCATGTGCCACATGCGGCGTAACCAGGTGCTAGGCTGCACGAGCGTAATATAAAGATCCAGGAGGGGACAAACTGAGTAGTNAGCTCTTTTCCTCGACCTTTATGCTGACGTTTTTGGTGTGTAGCCAGATTCCTCGCCGTCAGGTTCGTTGATCCTTCGCTGATGCAGAGGAGACATGAACACCGTACTTCCGTTGGGCATCGTGGCGCAGGTCCAGGTACGGGTGATGGTGGTGCCAAATCTTGGTTCATGACACCACTCATCGCCGATGCGACTGGAGGCTCCAGTGCAAAGCGATTCTACGCCAGTCCATCAGTCTATCGCTCCTGCTGCTACTACCTTCCACCACGCACGCAGTAGCGTGGTGGAAGAGGTAACCTCCCAAGAATTGGCCAAGGGTCGATGTGTGTGTCACGTGTGTGTGTTTACGTCCTATACATGGGTCCCACGTGTGTCAGGAACTTTGACACGAGCACGAAATTTTGACACGAGACCAGAATTTTGACACGAGACGTCAGAATTTTGACACGAGAGGTGCCGCACTTTTTCATGTCAGAATCACAGGTCAAATTTTTTCGAAAACGTGGTCAAAATATTTTCACCTGAGGTATTTTGACACGAGAAAACGACAAATTGACACGAGCGCCATCGCACACACACGAAGGCATCAACTCAGTCGGCAAGCTTGCACGCAGCTTCCTGCACACCCACACACGTGAACACAACGCTCCCGGGAATACATCGCGATAGGGGAGCATCAAGCCGCGGTTAGGATCGTGTGCGTTCATCGCGGGATCGAGAACAAAACACTCCGAGGTTGGGTTGTCTGGACTCTGGACTCGAAGCACACGGGAGATGACCACAACAGCAGCTAGTCGGGTGCCCCGCCCGTGAAGGGAGAGGTTACAGCAGTTGTAGGTGGAAGAGACGGTAGCTCTGGGCGTACGTACGAGGGGCGCGAAGCTGGCGGCGGTTGGGATTTGGGGAGTGTAATTCGCGGAGTGTAGTTCTCGGGAGTCGAGAGGAAACAGTCTCCAGCTTTGTTTGCTACGCCAAACATGGGCATCACGAGTAACATACATGTCCTCCTCTCCAGCTAGCGCGCACAACACAGCAAGCAGTAGAACCTGCATGCACTCATCATACCACTCGTAGCGGATTCTACCTCGCGCAAGGCGCGCCATCCCCTCGCTCCGTGTCGGGTGCGGTGATGAGGGAGCGCGACCGTTGGGTTTCCCGGCGGTGCAGCGGTGCAGCTGGGGTTGATTTTTTTTTATCGTGAGGCTGCGCCGCTGCTGGCCTTCGCCAGGCAACGTGCGGCGGAATATTTTTCGTGTCAATTTACCAACTAGGCCTGTCCTCCATCGGCCGTTTTATTTTCGATTTAGATACACAAAGATAAAACGGCCGATGGAGGACAGGACTATTACCAACCGTTACCTTTTTTCGTGTCAATTTGCCAACCGTCACTTTTTTTGGTGTCGATTTATCTCAGTCCAAAATTTTCGTGTCAATTCAACGTGGGAACCCAGGATTTTGGCGACAGTCCCCCCATTATTATTTTTCGTGGTGAGATGTGTGCTACACTTGTCAGCGTATGTATGTAGAGTACTACACTAGTGTATTTTTTCGTACAACTACAACGATTCAGGGTCACCATTCAGGGTTCCACAGGAGGGGGTAAACACCAGGGCTTTTTTCTTCATTTTATTTCTTTTTCATGCCCCACCTTCCTCCTGCGATGCGTGCTGATTTTTGCTTAAATTGCGGTCCAGCCGTCCCTTTCCCTCGTCAACGGTGCTAACGTCGAAGTTTGGTACTCACGAGAGCTTTTTTAGCAACGTTTCGCTTTCACCCGTAAATTTCGTAAATGTTTCACCCCATGGGGATTCGCACCCACGACTTCTACAACTAGCGGATTACGAGGATACCACTAGACAACCGGGGCGACCGATTTGGATGCCGCTAGCAAAAGTATCTATGCACTCTGAACGAATACTTCCTTGAAAAGATTATCGTGAATCGCACGAGAGAGTTGTTGTTGTTTGTTGCCTTCACATTAAAAACCTTTCCGATCTCTCTCTATCCAGTACCTTCGTATGTCCGTACTGATACAACACTCGACGCGGTCGATTCCCGTGGTCGCAGGCTAACTTACCCTAAAAAGGTGCACTCAAATAAAATGGCCCCGAGGGGTCCGCAAGTCAATAGAAATCAACGACAGATATTCTGGGGTCCTCCACTCCCTCTGCGCGCTATGCGAGGTAACAACTGAGACTAGGAGTCACCATCACGGGCCGGAGAGAATGAGATACACCCCCTTGGTTCAATCTTGGTACTTCACAACGCAAGCAGAAACAAGGCCATCTGGCACGGAAAAAGAGAGAAAAAAGGAACAAGAGAAAAAGAGAAGAAAATATTAGGAAACAGCATAGTCTAATAAGGAAAGAGAAAATGAAATATGAAGAGCGAGGACAAAAAGGGACCAGGCCGAAAATAATAAGAAACAGGAGACAGAAAAAGGCACACGGTGGAGAGACCACTAACGACAAGCAAACACGCAAACATGGCCACCAACCACCGACGCATTGTAATG